TGAATTAATTTTCGAACTAATCGGCTATCATCTTTACAGAACAAATGGAGCAATCGAAAAATTAATTTAAATTGCGAAAAAATATTCTTGCTGTACGACTATTTCGAATTAGTAATTTTCGAAATAATTCGAAAATAGTAGTTGTCTCAAATGGAAAGAAATAGAAAGCAATGGCATTTCAAAAAAGTGAGTGTTATTTTTTTCAATATCGATTTTACTTCTCATTTACCTACATTTTCCCATATTCTTGTGCTACTATGCAACACAAATTTTCTTTTTGATTATTCGGTAAGCTTTTTATAGTAAATTTTTAAGAGGTGTAACAGAAAGGTGTGAAAGTGTCAAAGATTTCTTATTATTTATTCGACAATGAGAAAAATTAAAAAAAAAAAAACTTTTCTTTGCTTGTTTTACACTTAACTTAGTAAGCAAGTAGACATATCGAGTATAAAAACGCTTAGGAAAATATCAATTTTCCGGAAATCAGATAATAAGTAAATAAATTTAGAAAAATGGACAAAAAAAGAGAATTACGATCAAAAATAAGAATTTTTTTTTGTTAGCGTTGGCTGTAAAATGAACTGTTGCCCTTTTTCAAAGGGTTGCAATTCCAAATTTTCACTAACTAAACATTTAATTGTTTGTAAGACAGCATTATTTAGTTGATAATGGTACGAGGATGAAATTTGCTACGATAATCTATAGGAAAGCTTCCAAAAACATATGCAAAACTATCGTTTAGGATAAGTTAAAAATGAAATTTCTAAGATAACATGGTAGATCCGCCATGTATGTAAAGTAAGCATATGCAATGAGCCCGGAAAACAAGCATGCAATTATTCTGCGAAATTTACAGTGGTTTATGATGTGAGGAGCTTTCTGAAACCGCAAGGGGCCCCGAACAAATCAGAACCGAACCTGAAAATAACGAAAGAAAGAAAAATTGACACATAGCTTTAATCTACGAAACTACTAAGCAAAAATGTTATTTAACATAAACGAACATACGCGAAGTATACATAATGGCACACGAACGTCATTACTTACTTATATTACTTGTACACTTAAAATCAAAATAGCCCAAAGAACTGTTTTTATAGTTTTTGAATACAAAATGGGGAATAGTTATAATTTTAGTGTGCCGCATAATATATGATCTAATTTTTGTTGAAAAATAAAAGAAACTTAAATTATAAATAGAAAATAATATAAACACATCCACAAACATACAACGAATGTAAATAATAATTATTTCAGGATATTACAATAATAATAATAAATGTCTGTTTGTAAAATTGTGAAGGACATTTCAAGGAAAATCATTCAATTTTCATTTTCCTTTAACTTTCTTTTATGTTATTATTCGTTTTTTCCATTATTTAATAGAAAAAATGAAAACAAGAACAGAAAAACAAAACACAATATGTAATTTTACTTTATTGCTTAATCATTTTATAACTCACGTATATCCTAAGTCAACTTTATAACTGATGAATCATAAAAAAAAAAATTAAAATAATGAAAGCAAAAATAAAAGCTGGCAAGTTTTTAGTTGCGATGGATAGGAAAAACTCAGCTAAACACATGAAAGAAGCCAAGGAGAAGGCGAAGGAGGGGAAAAAGCAAGTAAAGTTTATTTCTCTGTCAGAAAATTTTCTTTTTTGGCTGACAGAAATAAAAATAGAAGTAGAAAATTTAATAAAGTTAAAATTACGGGTATGAAATTTTCTTTAAAAGCATTTGTTTTTGTCAGAAATAGAAAAATATTTTAAAATAAGTCTAGATAGTTGGTAATCGGTATAGACATGACAATTTGACAGAATATCGCACTCAACTATAAAATTACTTAAGTTAGTGTACTATTGTTGATTCGTAATGTAATTACAATTAGCTGAATGATATTGTACATATTACGTTGTTCATAATAAGGTAGGATTTAAAAGCAAAAAACATTTGGTATATGTGATTATAGTTCTAGTAATTGACAAGGTACAATAGTATATTTTCAAAGATATACGTATGAGTAATAAATTCTACGGCAGTCCTTGAAATAATGGCAATGTAACACCAGCATGTGTATAGCACCTGGAATCTGCTGATAAAAATAACCAGTTCGATCTTTTGTTGACTGATAGTCAGGAACGCAGTGAGAAACAAATTTAAGAGCACCCCGCATCAACCCATTTAGGACACGAAAGAGCTTAACATATACAACAACCATTAAATAATCAGCGTAAGTGACCACTTTATAGTCTTCCCCCTTCATCAATACCAGTAATTGACTAATTACTAGATTTCAGAGAAGAGAAGAAAAATCGCTCAATGCATGAGCTGACAAAGCTAGCCTCAACTCTGCTTTACAAAATTTTTCCTATCAGGACACTCCGCTGTCAGCAGGTAACTTTGTATGACAGGTTCACTCGCAGAAGATCTTTCCATATCTAGATTTCAGCAGTTCAAGTTAAACTCATTAATCTAAAGTGTATGTGAAATATTTGACATACACCTTAGTAATAAGAGATTTACTCTCCATTTTTCCCTTTTTGCTCATTTTTTATGCAATAATGGCGAACATTGAACTATTATTTATTGTCGCCAAGTATTTATATTTATTATAAATTGCAATATGGACGTATTTATATATAAATTTAACCATTACACGTGTGTACAAGATCTTTCGTTATATGCATTCGAAATTATACGAAATTATGTTGGTAATACAAAAACGAAACAAAACACAATTTCTATTAAAAACACTTTTATAAATCCCTCAATCAAGTGAATTTTACCATAAGTATCGGCAAAATTACAAATAAAAAAAAAAAACCCAATAAAATTAGCATAAAATAAGGTTAGGTTTTTTCTTCATTATTCCCAATAACTCCGATCAAACGCATTTCGTGTACTTTTTTTTCATAAAACAAAAAAATGAATCGGAAATTATGCTCGTTTTTTATCGGTTTTGATTTTTTTTTTTCGAAACTCTTAAAAAATACAAAATCTAATGCAGATTATAATATTGATGACAATTTTTTTTTTTTGTTTTTGGTTTGGTTGGTTTTAAAACAAAGTTTATACAACTGAATGTATCAGTTTCCAAGCCCACTTTTAATAATTTTTCATGTTCGTTGTATTCTTTAATACCACGCAATTCAACCCACATTCACGAGTTTATTTCAAATTTACCATCGACGCGTACCTACCTATTGATGTAGTGTGTGTATGTATAACGTATGTAAGAAAATGTAAAATGATGAGGTTTCGTAAGATATTTATGTGCAGTGTATGAAAATTTTTATGTACAAGCTAGTATTAAACTTGTAATTCGTAAATATAAAAAATTTAAAGTAGAGTTATTTGAGAAAATGAAAATCGAAAGGTGAGTGAATTACTTATACTTGCTAGTAAGGAAAAGTGTAATAATTTAAAAGGTAGAAATATTAAAAAACAATAACAATAAAAATAAAAATATTAAAGAATAATTTTTTATGGAGATCATAACGTATGGTATAGAGGTGTGTGTTTTACTTATTGACGTTTCCAGTCACTTTTCTTTAATATTCAAATTTAGTTTTTTTTTTCCATTGCTTGAAACCATATCACTTCTTAATGTCCTACTACACATAGACGTCTGCATATGGTATTAGGTATGGTATAAGTTACTTTATTACTTTACTTACAATATTTACATAAATATTGGTAGAATGTTGATAATTTCATTTTTATTTAAATATTTTGACATTTGTCAGTGGCGACGCGGCGCTGTGAAAAGAATGAAATTATTTTTGAGCTCATAAGTAATAATTAAAGAGCAAAGATAGAGTTACTGTTTATATTTTTATTTGAATATTTTCAGAGTGTCAGAACAAATTTCTCTAATGCAAGATGTCCGGACAACACATCATTAGCATTTCTCTTAATATTTAGCATATTTAATTTTATATATTCAGTGACGGATTCGTTATCACTTATGCATAATAACACGTACACGGGAGGTAGAAATATTATTTGTTCAATTCTAATAATTAATAAATTTTTCTGAAATTTTAGATTTCTAAAAGCCCACAAAAAAAAAAGCTGAAGATATAGAAAATTTGACACAAATGGATTCAAGATAGCAGCTAATTCTAATTATAAAACTTTTACTGAACTCGTTATCCGCACATTTGAAGGAAAGAAATTCCATCAAATCCAAGAAATCACCATTATAATTTCAATTTCTTAACACAATCTAAATTATTTATAGTGTAATCTTACATACTAATTTATTATCATTTTAGTTCAATCTAAATAATTGCTCTAATTAATTTTCAAGATAAGAGAATGTCTAATACAAATATTAAAAAATTACTGATTAATAATTTTAATATTTAAATAAACTAATTAAGTAAATATTTTCTAAAAATAAAAACATTATAAACGTAGGCTTGAATTAATTAATTAATTAAAAAAAAATTAATTTGAAATGCGAAATAATTTTTTATATTCTTTCTAATTTCTTTAGCACGATTTGATTTTAGATCTATTAAAAAATATTAATTAAAAAATTTATTGACAGATAGAAGAATGTTTATGTCATTACATACTAGAGTAATTTGCGTAGGCCTATGAGAAATGTTATTTTTAATGTCAATAACTTTCTGTATATACAAAATGTTAATTTTGAATTACAAAAAATATTATGCAAATATTATTTACAACTCAAAATTATTATATAATATGCCTGTATATACAATCCACGTATATTATTTTGTTCATATACGCCGAATGTCAATATTTAAATGGATGCCTAATTGTCTGATAAGATTTTTTTTTATTTTTGAATAAATTTACACTTCAAATAATTTATAACGTTCTTTCATACATCGCACGAACAGTGGCGGAGTATTTTTTATAATTGCTTATGTACCCTAAAATATTTATGAATGTATTTTGTATGTATATTATATATGTATGTAAGTAGAATTTGAAAATTACAAAAATATTGAAAACAAACTTACGTTTTAAAGGTGGAATTTTAATTTTAAATTTCTTTTTTAATACACTACAGTAGTGGAATAAAATTAAAATATTTTATTGAAATTTGATGACAGATTTGTGGTTTTTAAATTCTTATTGCTCCCCACTTATATTAAAAGGTGATGTTGAGTTAAATGACTGCTTTATTTAATTTTCATTACCTGTAAGAAAGGAAAAGAGAAAATGTATTCAATAATTTTGAAATTTTTTTAAAAACAAGATTTTATAATTTTTTTTACTCATTTTTAATAAAATTGTTAAAATTCTCTTCAAGTTTTAAGAAGATAATTTGGTATATTCTCAAATTTGATGGTTGACAATTTAATATTTTTTTTAATTCAAGTAATGTTGCTACACAATGTAATATTGCTGCGACACCTTTTCAATTTTATAAAAAAAAAAACAAATTTACTCACTCTCATTTTTTTGACACAACGTGTAGCATATGCTTAACCATACCGAGCCAAATTGAAAGTAGGATGAAGAATTATGAAAAACAAGACTAGAAGAAAAGTATGAGTGAAAATAATAACATTTTGAGTATACTTGAAAAAGACAACAATGATGATTGCTATATATATAATATATGTATGTATATATATGTATGAAGTACAAAGAGCAAAATATTTAAACCTGCATGTTTATGTTTCAACATAAAAAAAAATTATAATTTTTACGAATTGCTATTGTACATATAAGGAAATGTAAAACGATTTTGTTTTTGTTCTAAACTCAAAATTAACATGACAGGCAAAATAACAAGTACAAAAAACAAAACTTGTACGAAATCAAAACAAAATCTACTCTACACGTCTTATATAAGGTTTCATCGGAATAACATTAGAATCCGGATTGGAAACAACATACATTACATTTATTGTTTGTATACATTGAATGCCATTGTGTACTCAACTTAAATACCCAACTAAAAGAATACAAAAGTAAGGTGATAATAAATTGTTCCTATCAGCTAAAATTTACTCAAGAATATTTAAACAAATACAACGAAAGTGATTGCCTGCAACTATGTAAGACAGCATATTTTTGAATATAAAAAATTTACGAGTCAAATTGGTATTCAGTAATGAAGTAGCGGCGGCATATGAAGGTGTGAAATGTATAAAATGCAGCCCAAAACTAATAAACAAAATGAAAATTAGTGTGGAGCTGAGAAATTTTTTTCGTAATGTCAACAATGAGGTGTCAAAATTTTGGCGTGATTGAAAATTATGTTTTGCCCCAAGTGAAGGGTAACAACTTTTTCCTTTCAAACTTTGTAGCATAAACTAACCATTTTCTATTATTCTTCCGTAGAGCAAATATGAAATAGTGCAGCAATTCCTATCAGCAAAATTTTGTTATTTTGAATAGTATACCTTCCTGTTAACCCTGCCTGCCTCCAGGCTAGAAATATTAAAAATTAAATATTTATAAGAAAAAATGAGCAGTCTTAGATATTCCAATTAAAAAATTTTTTATGTTTAAAACTTATTTTTCGCATCAATTGAGAAGCATTTTATATGAAAATTTTCAAAACAAAATTTTGGATATAAAAGATGGCGTTCGAATGAGTTAAAATTGGGTAAAATCTAAACAAAAATAAAAATTCCGTACAAGAACGTTCCACCCTAATGTACAAGTTAAACAACATTAAAAGAAATTAATTAGGTATTATTTTACACTCCAAATAGTGTAAGAAATACGAAAATTTGCAATACGGATGTGACAAAAATGTACTGAAATCTATTGAACTTTATTTAAATAAAGTTGGGTCAAACCAATGGTTTGTATTGTAGCACTTTTCCCTTCAACAATTCGGGAAAATACTGATTTTAAACACAGTCTAGTATTCCTATCACACTATTAAAATTATTTTCATTCATATACAAAACTATTTCTAGGATTGCATATATTTAGGATGATGCATATATGCAGTCTTTGAAATAAAGTAAAAATAATATAAAGTGGGGTTAACATAATGCTCGGGGCCCAAAACCGCACTGTCACCTCTTAGTGGTGGGGCCCGGTAATGGCGGAGGATAAAGGGGTGATTGAAACGATGAAAGTTACGTTCGTGTCGTGGTCATGTCTCGCGGCGAGCCTCTTACTTTGTGACTTTCAGCCCTATATCTATACGTCAGCTGACGACAGGCGTCCCAAGTCAAGGTGAAACAGCATATGCCGATGACTGCGTGGCTAAGGGGGAGCTTAGTCGTTAGTATGCGGACATGGTATGACGGGCTCTAACATGGGTGACTTTAATTTCCCGCGCTATTCTGGGGACCAAAAAATGGAGAACATAAACAATAACAACAAAAACAGCAACAACAAGAACAACAACTGTGACAAACACAGCAACTGCAACAACAACAACAATAACAACCGTGACAGTTACAACAACAACAGCAATACTAAGGACAACAATAATACAAACCTAGTTAGATAATAGATCCTCCTGGACCTATTATCCAACAAACTGAGTAGGACCTGAAAAGGTTGGACATCAGGGGAAGAAAACAATATTTCTCTGGTGCATCCAAGCGGCGTATCGCGGCTTATATCAGGGATGGCATGTCCCCAGAGGAAGCTCGCAGATATGAGAAGGAAAGGCTAGAAAAGCTGAGGGCCTGCGGGTCGGGTATTATGGCCGACCATCCCAGAAGAGGGAAAGGTCGGAAAGCAACACCCCTGATGCAGGGTCCTCAAAAAAGAGGTCGATGAAGGGCAATGTTGAGGGAAAGGTCCCTGGGAACATTCCTCAACAAAACCCGAAAATGACTTCTTATCGGGATGCAGTAGCACAGGTCAAGGTGGCCATCACTCATAGACTGCATCCAGAGAAAAGGCCATCCGAAGTTCAGATGGGGAAAATCAAAGTAGCCATCATAGATGAAATGGATAAAGTTGTGGACTATCATCCACAATTCACTGCAGCGTTCCAAAGGGACGGATGGATATCCGTAACATGCAACAATCAAAACACCAGGGAGTGGATAACCAGTGTTTGCAGGAATATAAAGCCTTGGGACGGTTGCAACGTCGTGGTACTGGATGGCGACGACATGTCCAAACAGCATGTCTGCGTCACCTACGTACCAAAGGACGAGACAACCGTCAGTCTCTCCAGAGACAAATTTCTAAGTAGGATAAGGAAGCAAAATCCCAACCTCAAAATAAGTTCCTGGAGGGTGCTGAGGATGGATAAGGAAAAGGACGGGGGCTGCTCCATCAGCTTTTCCGTGGATGATTCCGGATTGGAAGATCTACGGGAAGCGGAATCAGCACTTCAGGCCAACCAAAAGAACGAAAACTCATTGGAAAGTCTGAAGTCATTCCGAAAACGGCGGAAACGGAAGGACCACCGACCAGCGCGCCGGATACAAGCGTCCCGGGTGAACCAAAAGGGCCCAAGCCCATTGGGAAGCCCGGTACTGCTTCGGTATTTGCTGTTGGAGGAGCTAGCGTGGCACCTGGGACGGCAAAAGAGGATGTGGCAGGGCAGGCGCCCACCAAGATGCGTAAAAAGGCGGCAATGGGAAGCAAGGCTCATGTAAAGCCTTTGTCTAAAGGGCCAAAACCCATAGACAAGAGCCGGAGGAAATGCTAGGCATCTACTGATGTTCTAGCTCATTGATTTATGAAGGATCATCTCGATATTGCCCTTATCCAAGAGCCTTACATAGTGAAGGATCGGGTTAAGGGCATAGCAGGTGAGCTATAGTATGATAATACAATTGGGGGCAGGCCTATGGCTTGCATTTTGTTTAGTAAAAGGCTAACGTATTTTCCCATTCCAGATTACTGTTCTAAGGATCAAGTAGCTGCGTTGGTAAAGGTGAAGCCCTCCGGGGGCTGGACAGAGTTCATTGTGTGCTCATCCTACCTCCCGGGGGACTGTGACCACCCGACTGAGGGATCACGAGCAACTGAGGGATCTAGTGGACTTTTGTGGAAGGAGGAACTTCCAACTTATAATAGGAAGTGATGCCAATATCCACCACACCGTCTGGGGAAGCAGTAATATAAACAAAAGAGGTGAGTGCCTACTTGAATTTATATATAGCAATAAATTAATGGTTATGAATGAGGCAATAGGCTGACATCCATAAATGCAATTAGGGAAGAAGTCCTTGACATCACCCTTTGCACTGAATTTATCGGCAGTAGGGCTGGTGGATGGCATGTCTCAAATGAGACATCTATGTCCGATCATAGGCAGATTAGGTTTGATATCATGATCTCCGGGGGCCTGGCAAAAAAAATGTATCGGGTACCCCAATCCACAGATTGGAGTCAATTCGAAACGCTCCTCATGGATGGGATTGGATCCGTTCCTGCTTCTGTCAGACCGGTGATGGATATCGAACTGGCCAGCGAGACTCTGACGGCGGCTATTACTAATGCCTACCATGGGAGCTGCCGCGCTAAGCCGAGGCGGAGCAATAGGAAGTGCCCGTGGTGAAATGAACAGCTTTCAAGGCTTAGACTAAAGACCAGAAAGCTATTCAATAAGGCCAAGGCGTCGGATTCGTAGGAAGAGTATAAAGACTCACTCACAAAATACAATAAAGAAATGAGGAAAGCGAAGAGAATCTCGTGGAGGGCGTTCTGCAAGGGCATTAATGAACTCTCCAGCAGTGCGCGTCTTCACAGGGTGCTTTCCAAAAAGTATGCTAGCGGGTTGGGCCTAATGGAACGGCCTGATGACTCCATGACTGACAACTGAAAGCAGACGTTGGAGCTTATAGCGTCAACGCACTTTCCTGACTCGGAGAATCTTCGGAATCACTCAAATGCGGTCATTGAACCGAAGGCATCCTGGCCCAGGAGGGATGACTGGCAACAATCCCGTCTGGTCTTCACGATGGACAGATTAGATGGGCTGTTTTCTCTTTCAGGCCCTTCAAATCTCCAGATGATGACTTGATATATCCTACATTTTTGCAGAGGGGTTTCCAACATATCGCCAGAGCACTGCTGGAAATGTGCCAGCTATGCGTGGGGTTACATCCCTCAGGCATGGAGGGTGCCTAAAGTGACGTATATTCCGAAGGCGGTTAAGCGACCCAGCAACCACCGTCGAATCAGCCTTACTTCTTTTCTGTTGAAAGCAATGGAAAAAGTGATTGATAGATTTATACGGGACGATGCACTGGGAAGCAATCCCTTGCATGGATCTCAGTTCGCCTATCAGTCAGGAAGGTCTACTGTACTTGCTCTGCAGAGTCTGGTGGAGGTCCCTGAAAACTCGCTGGAAGCGCGGAAGGTGGCAGTGGGCTGCTTCCTTGATATAGAGCGAGCTTTTAGCAACACCCCATACTATGTCATCTGTGAGTCGTTGCACAAACGTGAGATTGATGCGACGACTAGCAGATGTGTTAATCGGATGCTACAGGATAGGATTATTAAGTCCACCATAGCTGACAATATATTCTTCATCTCCGCTGCAAAAGGTCCGCAGGGCGGGGTTCTTTCGCCCCTCCTGTGGTCCATTGTAGTAGATGATCTAATCGCTGCTCTCAGGGGCTCCGGGGCGCGTGTCTGGAGATACGCCGACGATGTGGCCTTCGTCATGCGGGGAAAATTTGAGAGCACTATTTCTGATCTTCTACAGCAAAATTTACGTGTTGTGGAAAGGTGGTGCAAAGGCGTGGGGTTAAATATAAATCCAAGCAAGAATACTTTGGTCGCCTTCACCAGACGCAGAAGCAGGGACGTATTAGTTACTCTAGGGAGGTGAAGTATCTGGGGATAGCCCTGGATGATCGTCTCTTTTGGAATACACATATAGATAGAGTTATCGGGAGAGCTACGGCGGCCTTGTGGACGTGTAGGAGCTTCATCGGGGGGACCTGGGGAATTAGTCCCAGAATAGCACTGTGGCTATATACTGCCCTTGCTAGGCCCATCGTCACCTATGCGTCGATTGTAGGGTGCCGTAAGGCTCAGCAGGCGAGTGTACGGGCCAAGCTGGAAAAGCTACAGAGGCTGGCCTGCCTGGGAGTGACCGGGGCAATGCGGACGGCTCCCACCGCTGCATTGAAAGTGATGATCGGATTGCCGCCACTGCACCTCCATATATTAAAGGAAGCTCGGCTAGTGACTTACCGACTTCTCTCTGGCGAGGACGGGGCAGGGCTAAAGTTGGTCCACAGGACTCACAGAGACTTCATCGAGAGCGATCCGATTCTAAGAATAACCATGTCGAATACCTGTCTGCCGCGGTACAACTTCGACCACAGGTACAGGGTTCTGTTTCCCGATCGATGGACGTGGGATCGGAGTGGCCCGTACTTAGGTCGGGTTCGAGCGTGTGGTATGCGGACGGGTCCAAAACGGAGTCGGGTGTGGGTTCGGGCGTACACGGTGTCCGCCCGGACACGCGTTTATATGCAACTCTTGACCCGTATTACATAGTGTTCCAGGCTGAAATACATGCAATAGAGATCTGTCTGAGAATCAATTTAGAAAGGGAGTATAGAAACCGCACCATCTATGTGTTCTCGGACAGCAGGGCTGCACTGCTGGCGCTTCGTTCAGCTCAGGTTACATCCAAGCTGGTCTGGGACTGCATTGCTGCACTTATGGAATTGGCATCGGAGAACAGAGTGACGCTCATTTGGGTGCCGGGCCCTAGTGGCCATGCGTGCAACGAAGTTGCCGATGGGCTGGCGCGGAGGGGATCTGGGGCTGACTTTGTGCAGCCGCTGCCTTTCTGCGGTCTGTCTTCTTCCGCCGTGGGGGCCAGGCTTGTCTGCTTGCTCGCGGCGGAATGCGGCCGTCACTGGCGGGACACGAAAGGGTACCGTCATGCGAAAGTGTTTCTTTCGGTGTGCTCCAGCGGATTCACCACAGAGTTGCTGGGGATGAGCAGGAGCCGGGTTCGCACTATTGCGAATTTCTTCACGGTGCACTGCCCGGTGAAGTACCACCTGCATAGGCTGGGGAAGTCGGGCTCCACCCCTGTGCAGATTTTTTGGGTGAAGATCTATATACGCATTAAATTTCAGCTTTCTATCTTCAAGGGTGTAGAAGTTTTGTAAAGAAAAAAAGTGTCCACGGACGGACTGACGAACGGACGGACAGAGTGTAATTAATAAGCACTTTTTTTCAAAAAATTTTTGGAAAAGTGCTAAAAAAAAGAACAATACAGTGTGCAAGTAAACAAAACCAATTATTAAATGAAGCTCATATGTTCAAAATAATGACGGATTGGAATTGTGTAGTAATACGTTTTTTGTAAGAGGAGGATACTTGGATAGCAGGAGGATATTCACGAACTATAGTTTACGTGCAAAGTTCAGATTTTTTGTAAGCATTCCTTAATTTCATCCTACTACTCGTAGCTATCGTTATTTTTATGATATATATATTCTCTGTGCGTTTATTTAATAAGTTGTAAATATCAATAAGAACAATTAGTAATTAAGTACAACTATTTTATTAACAATGTGAAATTACGGTTTTGTATTTGATTATACACACAAATTTACATTTAAACATCAAAATATTTTAAATAATTCATTTAAGTATAGAGAAAATTTTCTTAAGTGTTCTTTTGAAGTTTTTTTTTTCGAAAATGAAACCAGAAAAGTTAATTTTTTAAATAAAACCATTTTGACCTGAATAAAATTTAACTACCTGTTATAGTAAAACTACTTAAGTAAATTAAAAGTAATTATAAATAGAATGCAAATTTCTCTTTATACACTCGTAAAGTACAAAGAATATTTTGCCGCTTTCTGCTTTTCTATACGCTATAAAAACATCAAATGTAAATCAAGTGCAAAGTGAATGGAATGAAACTGTCAATCAAAAATTGAAATAAATGTCATTCAATTGCATTATGTGAAATGAAAATTAAAAATTTTTTAATTGTTGTTTTATTCATGAAATTTACTTTGAAAAAAAAAAAAACTATTTAAAATAACTTTTGCGTTTTAGAAAATTTTAAAATTCTTTAGAAGATTTTGAATAACTTTATAGAAAATTTTGTAATCCATACATGGAATCGGAAAAGTTTTTAACTCAGTTAATTATTCTAATTTTTCATTTACGTGAAATTATTACTTAAAAGATTGTAAACTTTTATATTGCAACGAAATGCAAACACAACTTAATGCTAATCTCAATTGATATGGGGAATTTGATTACAAATAAATAATGAGCTTATTGAGCCGTTTCATAAGATTGGAGAAGACAATCTACTGTGCGAATACACGGTCATTGTACATTTAAGATTGCGATGCTTTTGTGTAATGCGGATCTCTTCAAAGAAATTACAGCTTTTTACGTTTTGCATAACGCTCTTGTAAGTATGATCAAGATGAGGGGAGCCGGTCAACACAATGCCACAATACTAGCCGTAACAGAAGGGTCTGCCCAAGAATTCACATGCCATCAATATGGCCTACATTTTCGCTAGAAAGACATTTGACTCGTTAGGAAACCAATATGATTCAGATAATTCATGTGTTCGAGAGAAAATTTCAGCAAAGATCCTATTCCTCGGTGACTTAAGCTGCCTCAAAATCCCTTAATTTAGTCCACCTTTTCCTTTGGCCACGAAAAAGAAATTCAACACAAAATATCTTGTCAAAATTTAGTCTAGATTCTCTTCAAAAAGAAAAATCAAGAAAACATTGAGATCTTTGATAACTTATGAGCCATCAATATTTTCTGTTAAGAAACTCTGAGTATTCTCACATAATTATTCTTATAATTGTTTTAAATCGTTATAGTTACCCGGAAATTTCTTAGCCAACCGGAAACGTCGACAAAATTAAAGTGTAAAAAACCTTAGCCAATTTTTCTTCGAAACCATAGACATCTGTATTAATTTTCCAGTAAGTTGTTTTAAGTTCAAGTATGCCCACCAGCGAACGTTACATAACAAACAAAAACCAACAACAAACTCTAAAAAAAAATCTGTAGGAACAAATTAAAAGCCGTGCTTGTTATTTTAATCAAAATGCAACATAAATTACAAAATAAATTATGAACAAGGAAGAACAGATTTTGAAACACAATTCGCAAAATACAAGAGAGAAAAAAATAACATTCTATGCTTCTAATATCCTTCTCACCTATTCTATATCCAAAAAATTTTCTTTTGTTCCCACCTTATTTTTCTCACATTTTTGACATTTTTAATTTTTTTTCCACTTTCCATTATATATTTTAATCTGCATGTAGAGAACTGAGCTAAGCAAAGCAACCCAATGTATAATAACACTTACTGTTATAGCAATATAACAACAATATTAAACAGTATGAGTTAAAAAATAAGAGAATTATTATTTTCTCTTTTCATCCTTTCTTTTTTTCTCAAACTTTTCCAAAATGATACCGAATTTACACTTTTAAAAAATATTTTCTTAAATACCAGTTCATCTATCTATTGTCTGCTGTATAGCAGCAGTCGATGTGATCAAGTGATTCTTGTTCTAAATTTCACAGCTCTAAAAAAAAAAGTTTTTATTTTCTGTTGTCATAACATACATGGATATATAGGAAAGGTAAGTAAGGGTATATACATTAACATATACATATGTGCATATAAAAGAATAAATTTTAAATAAAATACATTTTCCTATTCATATTAGAAAATTTTTTAAATAAGCAGCAATTTTAAAAATAAAAGAAAGTTTTTTTGAAAGAAGTCAGACTATGATGATGATGTTGATGATGATTGTGATTGTGATATATAGATTAAGGTGCTGATGATTATATATATATACATATACATAATAATAATAATAATGGTTAATATGACGACGATGATGATTATAATGATTATGTTGATGGAGAGACAACTATATGACGATAACATTCGATAAAACTTAAATATAAAATGAAAGGGATAAATTTTAAAAACTATAAGCACAACACTAAGTATACAGTGTACATATATATGTGTACTTACATAATGTATATATAGAATGTATGAGTATATATCACCAATGAGAAAAAAGGAACGTAACTCTTTTGAGGTTAGAATTAATGATGTTACCTGATGGTAAAATCCTTCAAAATAATATACATAATAGTAGTACATGTAGAGAGATAACTAAAAATGAAAAGAGAAAATATCATATGGAGAAACAAATATTGTTAGAATATTTATAATATATAAGAAATAGAAGAATAAGCAAGCAAGTGATGTCGTTTATGTTGCAATTGCAGTAGACATATGGCATTTGGGAAACGTTTACTGCACAACAACATTTTTAATAGACTTACTGCAATTTAAATCATTCAATTGATTTATCCTCATCAACACTAAAACTTTTACCATCAAATTTTGAAAAACTCGTAGGAAATATTTATACAGTTCAAAAAAATATTGTTGAGCTATTGAGCTGTGAGGATGCTTTAATGTAAATAAAAATGGCTCAATTATGGCTTAAATAAAATATCCAGTATCCATAATCCAGTAAACGGAATTAAATGTTATTAATATTTTACATAACTGTCAGAAAAGTAGTAAATTATGTAAACAGTGAAAACTTTTATTTGAAACGAAAATTTGCTCCACTGTGATATTTACTGCAATTTGGATTAATTTGGTGCAGCTCATAGACCCATTTACTGCAGTTAGGAAAATGCAAACGACAACACTGGAAGCAAGCACAAAATGGAGAAAGTACAAAAAGGAGCTATCTATTATACAGATATACATTTGGCATGTACATTTTATATATAAAAATAATAATATTTTAAATTGTTAATTTAAAACAAAGAGAAAACAAAAGTACATGTACGAGTTCGACTAGTATATGTAGTTACTTGCAATACAACACATCTCTTTCTCTCCAGGCTAAAATTTTTCATAATTACAAAAAACCAAAACAAAAAGAGATTAGAGAATCTCTATAGAATGAATAAATTTATAGATTTTAGTTCATGTTTGGGAATGAATTGAATTGCTGTACCATAACCATATCGTTATTAAGAGAATTAATAGCATATGATGAAATAAAATGAAGATGGTATATGTTAGTGCTGATTTTGTTTTTTTATAGAAGAAAAGATCGAAAGTTCAAGAATATGAAATTTATATTAAGAACACCAGTTGTTATAATTGTAATAACAATATTAAATTATAAAGGAAGTGAAAAGAAGGAGTGTTGTTAGTTAAAAGCGATGAGATTTGTACTTACTTGCACGTAAATTTTTAAGAGCTCATAAAAAGATAACTAAAACTAATTGGTTTTATTTTTCATAATTTCACTACTATTAATTAATATTTCAGATATTGTTTATAAAAATTCCATCCATCCACAAATATTTGTGTACATATTTAAATTCTTGCAATTTGAACAGATTTTGTCCAAAGGAAACATTCCATTTGTAGAAACCTCAACCAATACATTTTTCACTTAATTTCTATGACAACGTTATTAACAATATTTAATTAAAAAATTTTATGTTTTCAATTATTTAATAATTATTTTGAAAATTTAGGTTAGCTGATTTTGAATTGTGAATGTGATATAATTTAATTGCTCAAGTAATTGTGAATTTAATTATGAAAGCAGTTAAAGAGAATGAAGGAACAAAAATCAAGAAGCTAGCAAGGCAATTAGAATATTCGGACAAAATAGATAGAATGCTTCTGTAGAAAGCGTTGTGAGTAACAACGATCAAACTTAATTGGAAGTTTTGCGAGGAAAAAAAACAGACAAAATGGAAGATCTACAAACTATTAATAATTTACTATAGAATTTTAATTGATAATACCTTGAACACTTACTAAATAAATAAAATCAAATGAAAGAAAACAAAAGATTGATAGGTTGAGGAATTCACAATAATTTCCATATTACCTCTAAGAATTTTCGCTTCTTTATCCTTAAAATCATTATTTTCATACAACAAAATCTTGTTTTCATCCATTTTTAAAATTCACATATGCAATTTTCTTTTTAATCTTTATAAAATTTCACATTATATGGCACTTAAGAATAAAAAAAAGCCAAGTTAATTTTTCCCAAACATTAAAAATTCTTTTGAATAAAAAATACCTAAAAAATAAAGTGTACTTGTGTATAGAGGAAAATAAAATAAATAAAGATTATCTCAAAGAGGTCAACAACAAAAAAAAACAAAAACAAAAAGAAAAAATTAGAAAGAGAAAAATAATTTTTCAATTTTCTATTACAGCGCCATCATGATGAAAAATTTCATAAAGAAGTGACATTAATAATCATAAATGGATTCTGAAATTCTGTCAAGTACTATTTACTTTTTCTGTTTTTTAAGTGAAAGATCCTTTTTAAATACGTCATATAATTTACTTTTCATACCTATAAAATAAAAGATTTTTTTTTCCCTATTAAAAATTACTTAATAACCTCAAATTTGAAAAAAAAAAAGGAAATTTTTTTCGGTTCCGTTAATAAAAGAAAAATGAATGAATAGAAGAAGTAACAGTAAAAATGAATGAATGAAGAAAAATAATAAAAAAATCACCAAGAAATTCACCTGGAACGTGAGTATACTTTAAAAAATTTCAGATTGTATTAGAAATTTCGCTAAACTTCATATGTGATACTGAAGCAGATTAAGAATAAATGATGGCAGCAAGATCGTATTTCAAATGGAAGATGAAGTTTGCGTAAATTTCCTTCAATAAAAAAATAATTTATTAAAATAATTTTTAAATTTCCTACTTTGTTCAATTATGTGATTAATAAAAACTGAACTATGCATATCGAAATATTCAAAATTTTTCAAAAATATATAATTGTGTATGAGTGCAGAATAATTATCGCAATATTCTGTACGATTTTCGATGGTTAAAATTTGTCGCAAAACTGTTAAATTATTTGCCAATATTCGATTAATAGCTGCTATATGCTTTAAACTCATTAAATAATGCATTCGGATAGAATTTTAAATTTTCATTCGAATTTCTATGCCCATTCAAATTTTAGTGTTTATTGGGATTTCTGTATTCGTTCGAATTTCTATGTTCATTCGAATTTTTTTTTGTTCATTCGAATTTCTTTGTTCATTCGAATTTTGGTACTTATCCGGATTTCTGTATTTATTCGAATTTTCGTATTCATTCGGATTTCTGTATTTATTCGAATTTCTGTATTCGTTCGAATTTCTATGTTCATTCGAATATTTTTTTGTTCATTCGAATTTCTTTGTTCATTCGAATATTCGGTAAAATGCATATTTCTTTTTTTTATTAAATAATTTTTTATATATATACGGACAAAGCGGATCATATTGAAAATCATTTAACTTGTATATTTAACTATCTTATTTTTTATTTTTTCGTTTTTTAGTAGTATTGCGGATATGGCATATAGAGGGAAAATCATTAAAATATAAATTTGAATTCAAAAAGGAATATAAAATTATAACAAAAACAAAAATCAGAAAAAAATGTTTATATAAATGCTTTAAATATAAGCAAATATAAAATTCATTATGATTTCCAAATCCATGTTAGTTTGAAAAGAATTGGTGGACGGTATTAAATACGTGCCCGGAATATTTAATAAAAACTTCGAATACAACAACAATACGAAAATGAAAATAAAAAACTTAAACTTCGGTTAAACTCTTCTTCTTCTCTCTCCCTCTGTTTTTGGTTTTTGTTTTCTTTATTTTCATTTCTTATGCTTATTTTACCATACCAGACATGATTTTATTATAATTGTATAAGGGCATTCACCATTCATTCACTGAAAAAAAAAGAAAAAATATGGAATACTTTATTCATTCATTCAAATTCTCGCATCTTTTTCTTTTTTTTTAAAGAAAATTATTAAAAAAAAAAATAAAAGAAAAGGAGAAAATAAACAGGAAAGAAAAGAGAAAGAAGAGGGATAAATGAAGGGTGGTATTGGAAAGCCATACACATATTAAATTAAAAATGGGTATGAAATATCGGAAGAATTCAAATTTGAGCTATAAAATAGGCATGTTCTGTTAATTTTCTTTTGTTTTATTGTCTTTGGACAATGTTGTCTAAAAAAACTAAAGTCGTCACTGTTAAATGAAAGTCAATTTAAGCAATTAACATTTTAAACAATTATGGATCCGAGAAAAATGCTATTCTTAACTTCTAATTCATTTTTTGCATACCTAGGGGGGCTTTTCGAAAATTAAATTTTTCACTTCCAAGTTTTAATTCCGGAATTATTATAATGAAATATTCAAAGAGAGTGTTATTTTTTTCATTTAAATATTTAGCTGACTGATACTTTCGAATTTGGGCACAGATTCGGTTTTTGTTATTGTTTATTAAGACAAATTTGTCACTTTAAGAAATATGTACACAAAGAGCTCATAATTCAACTTTTTATTTGTACAACACATACAGTGAACTACACTTTGTAACCATAAATAGAATTCACACGCCACACCACTGTTTACATTTAAATTATGAATACAACAATAATAATAATATAATATATGTAAGTACATACGCGTGTACATAAAATAGTTAGAGGCAAAGTTATATTTTTTTTTCATTTTAATGTATCTACACGCAACAATGCCGACTTTATGACTACTTCTCTTTGAAATAATGCTTTTGTCCTCGAAATTCAACAGAAAAATAAAAAGGATTGTTGTCATTTGCTTAAAACTAAGTTTTCATTCCTATAACGCAGTGAAGTAGCAGAAAAATTTTATTAAAAGAGGCATGTAAAAGCAGAAAATTATGATCTTATATGGAATTTTTTATTAAATTTTTAAATATTTAAAATATTTTTCATTTTTTAGTGAAAAATTTATTAATAATAATTTTTTTCACAAATAATTTTTATTATTAAATTGTTAAATGGATCTTTTAAATCATAATAACGTAGTTTCTAAAATATTTGTTCTAAATTCTTATGAAAATTAAGTTGGACGATAGTGACAATAAAATTTTAATTCTTTTATTTCAAGGAACCGAGTTTAACAATAAACTATAAAATTGTTAAAATCTCTTTGAGTGAAAACTCTTTATGACATATTTTGAAAATCCTTTAATGATGTGTTAACCTAACTTTAAGACAGGGAGATGGATTTTTTAAATAGACGTCAGACTTTAACAGAGTT